CGAGTTCTTAACCATCACGCCACTCGGCCGGCCCCCCCTCTGCCTGTTTTTGTAAATAAAGTTTTATTACAACATAACCACACTCATTTATTTACATATTATCTGTGGCTGCTTTCATGCTCCAGTGGCAGAGTTGAGTAGCTTTAACACAGACTCTATAGCCCACAAAACCTAATGTATTTACTATTTGTCCTTTTATGTAAATACTTTGCATGCCCTTGCTCTCAAGGAACAACACCAGATTTACCACTAGCCACTTCCATGTGATGACATCACTGGAAACTTGTGCTTTTTTTGTGTTGTCTTTTTTAACATTCTGATTATTTTTTTATGCTACACAGGCTTACTTTGTAATTAGAAAAACAATAAAGATAAATAATAATTTTAAAAGGGAAACACTTTACAGTCAAGCTTGTCAGTTTCGTTTACTAGATTTGTGTTCCTAGAACACAAAGGTGCTCATTTGGACAGTGTTTCCTACTGTTCACTGGGAGGGCTTCTATTTAGATTAGAATTGGAGTCAAAGTTTCTGGCAGCACTTTTGACAAATGCAACATCCCTCAACTCCATATAAACTAAATTCTACCAGCTTCCTTGACATAGGGGACAGGCAGTTATGCCATTTCCCTAATATTATGTTAAGCTCTGCTGCTCCTCACTATATCTGCCTCTTTGATTTTAGCCCCAATTTGTATAAACTCATAAAGGCACTATGAGTTGTACCTTTTTTAGCACAACAGATGCCCCTATATTTCTGAGTTGTCTCACTTTTCAAAGGTAATGTGGTCAAACCATGGTTTGGCCTAACTTTGATGACCTGCAGATACCATGACCTGGTAGGAAGTGCAAAACTCCAAGATGAGAAGTGTGATCTTATAAGGCACATGGACACTCCCATTTCAACCTATTTAATGGGCAGACCTCTCCAGTTCCCACCCTTCCAGTATCTCCACAGACCTTCCACATGTGGAAGGTTCAAATTCAAAAAGAACAGTATAACTCTAAAGTTGTTTAAATTAAAACATAGGAAATATCTAGAAATATCTAGGACCATGCAAGGGCATAAGACTGAAGAATGACATTTAAGGGCTGGCTAAATGGCTCAGTTGGTTAACAGTTGGCTTAAGAGCACAAGCTCTGAGCAACAGGGTCGCCAGTTCGATTCCCACATGGACCAGTGATGCTGCACCCAAGCTGAGCTGTCGCTGAGCTGCCAACAGGTGGCCAGATGGCTCAGCTGGTGTAACAACAAGATTGCCTATTTGATGGTGGGCTACGCCACCCTGCAACTAAGACTGAACTCCGCACTTTGAGCTGAGCTGCCACCCAGATGGCTCAGTTAACAACAAAGCTGCTGGTTCAACTCCCGCATGAGATGGTGGCTATGCCCACCTGCAACTAAGATTGAACACAGCACCTTGAGCTTAGAGGCCATGAGCTGCCGACAGGAAGCCAGATGGCGACTGGCGCCCTTTGCAGCAAAGATTGAAGAACAACAACTTGGCTGGTCCCCTTCCCCAATTCCCCAATAAAATCTTTACAAAAAAACAAACACATTTAACATTTAGCTATTATTTACTTTGCTCAAATCTTTATAATTTTTAATTACGTGATAGTATTTCACCTTAGTCTCTTTCATAGGTAATCCTGTAAGATACTAATTACTTTGTTTTTGTGTGATATAGACAGAGGAATATGGGATTAATTTTAGTAGTGATTACAGCAAAATAAATGTCAGTATTTCAGTTATACAAAAAACTTATTTTTTAATGAAATTATACTAAAAAATTCAGTAGAAAAAGTATAAGTGATAGTATTTAAAATACAAATAGTTCATTACGTTCATTAGGTTCTTTATAATTTTTCAAATTGCTTTCTTAGATACCATTTTCCTAGATATCTATTGCTAGATATCACTGTATTTAACTTAGTAATTATAAGATTGCTAGGACCAAGGTTATTGGCATAGTCTTAAGAATGAGAAACCAGGGCTCACAGAGGATGTTGTGGTAGAGCTAAGACGGGAATCCAGCTCTTTGCTCACCTACACTAGTTCGTTCCACTGCACAGCTAAGCAGCAATTCAGTGGTACCTCAGATTATACCTCCATCCTGAAATGAGTACGTGGATGCCCAAAAGGCCTGGATTGATTCCCAAGTGTATTTTAGGCACCGTTAAGTTTAAGGTTAGACAACTGGTGTTAAGGTTCCCATTTGTGCCTGACTCATTTGCGACCAGATCCTCATTGATACAGACAAGATGTCTAGTCTGTAAAATGAAGATAATCTCTTCCTTCTATTGCCCAAGGACATTGTTTGTGGGCCAAGTGGCAATTGATAGCAAGGAGAAATTAGAGAGTGTGAGACACGTGAAACGCTATGAACAGGCACCAGGACCCAGAGTTACCGGGTAATTCGCAGTCTTGGTGCTTACTCCTGCTGTGTTCATTTCAGTTGAGGTCAGACATTTTATTTCACATCTTGTCTAGTTGCTCAGTTGTTTTAATGAACAATTTCTTAATGGAAACTTACCATGATTTCTCTTGTACCCTTGTGCTCACAGGATGAATTCTCAGCATTATCACTAGTATGCAGCCAGAGTGTGCCCACAAGAAGCAAATGTAGGCTGAGGAAATTAACAGGACAGCATTAGCATAAGAAGTTGTGGTTCTCCCTTCAGTAAACCCTCTCTCAGCCTTTTGTTTTTGCTATTGTTTCCGAGCATTTTATTTTGAAATTTTCAAATCTACAGAAAAGTGAGGGGGGAGAGTGCAGTGAACCTGTGTATATCCTTAACTTAGATTAACGAATTATTAAGATTTTTGCCATATTTGCTTTAACTCTGTGTGAGGGGTTGGATGGGGGTGGAGAGGTGTTTGCTAAACTCTTTGAATGTAATTTACAGTCATCGTTACATTTTATCTTAAAATATTTCAGCCTGCATCTCCTAAGAACAGAAACATTCTCTCATGTAACCAACAACACCATTGTCATATCTAGGAAAATTAATAATTCCATAATACCTAATGTCCATATCACATTTCCCTCCATTGTCCCCAAAATTAATTTTGTAGTGTTCAAGATCTAATCAAGATCCATGCATTGCATTTAGTTGTTATGCCTCTTCAGTCTCTTTCAGTCTCTTAATTCTTAATCTCTTTTAATCTATAACAGTCACCCCTATCGTAAAAGAAAAAAAAGATTTTTAAGACATGTTTTTTCTTTGAAGAGTCCAGTCTTGTCCTATAGAATGTCCCACATTTTGGATTTGTCAATTTTTTTCCATCATACTTAGATTCAGACAAAACTTTTTTTGGCAAGAATTCTACATAGATAATGTTATATAGTATTTATTAAGTCAGGAGATGAATAAGATTGGGTGGTTCCATTAATCACAGATGCTAAATCTGATCACAAGCAGAAATTTGGGTCTCCCTTGGGTAAGTCCAAATTTAATCTTTTAGGTTTCTTTAACCATACAACATCGTTTTAATTTTTCCAAAGCATGTATTATTAAGGACAACAAATATTTCTGGTTCAGAAAAATGGTGGGAATAGACAGCCAGTAAGTAGTATTCACCTTGACTGCCCTTTCCTCTATGAATAAATACCCCAAACACTCCTTATACCAAACATTTCCCCCCGCCTTCCTCTTTAGACTATGCAGGAAATTTTTGGAAATTAACTGCCGGTGAGGACCCCAGATCTAGAGGGAGTTAAGAGTAAATAGACATTTATGGAGGGAGAGTAACAGCAATATGAACATTTATTGAGCCATTGCCGTGTACATGGCACTGGGATAAGCACTTTCTGTGGATTGACTGCGCAGTAACCCAATTAGGTAAGCAGCCTTGTCTCCCCGTTTTACAGATTAGGAAGCTCAGGCACAGAAAGATTGAGGATCTTGCCCAAGGACCCACAGCAAGTAAGTGGTGGAGCTAGGGTTCAAACCCAGGGCTGACTAAGTCTCGAGCCCATTTCTGAGTTATTGTGCTATGCTGTCTCCGTGATTATGCACCAGGTATTGTCCTAGGCACTGTCTCATTCCTTTTCTTGTATAATTCTCACATCGACTGTAAGAAACAGTCTCAAATAGATGAAGTTACGTACCCAAGGTCATTATGATATCCGAACCATTTATTCTATTTTGTGGTTCTCTCCCATGTTTCAGCCAAGATCTTTTAACAGCAGAGTGGTTTATCCAGCGGGGTCCCTTGTCCCACTCCCCAGCACCCACATAAACAGGAATCATATGCTGGAAATGAAACCAGGTGGCAGAAGCAGCTGCACAAGCAAGAGAAGCCTGATCGGGTCCACATTAACCAGATGACAGGAGTGAGAGCCATCAGTTACAATTCGGGGACCATCAGTGAGACATGGGATAACACTGAACCTGAAATAAAGGTTGTTGAAATAAGACTGGTCTTCCGAGGAAAGCGTTTCCTTACGGCCTCCCCTCTCATCAGAGAGGACGTGGCAGGCTTATTTGAGTAACTTCAAACCGATGTCAAAGCCATGAAGAGATTTCTGAAGGAAAGTGTGATTGCTTATAGTTTCTGATGCCCACTATTAATTTCCTCTTTAGAATTTTTTTAACATCATCACTGAGTCTATATAATAATAATAATAATAAACTAAGAGGAGTAGAGTTAAAGAAAGTAATATGATAATATGACCTATTTCATAGGATTTTTATGAGGATTAAATTTACACACACACACACACACACACACACACACACAGAGTGTAACGGAGTGCTTGACATAGGCATTCAGTATGAAAGTTGTTATTATATGATTACATCATTTTATTTTGTGTTCTCACATGATAGGATCTGGGGACCTTCCCTAAATTAGGACAGTTGGCCCGGGAAAGCAAACGTTCCAGACACTGCCTGGCTAGCACCTACCCTAGAGACCAGCTATCCCTTAGTGACCCTCTGGTGCTGGCAGGAGGCTCCTATTGCCAGGATGCCTGTCACACTCTGTCTTTCTGTTTCAGGTGGTTAGCTCAACCAATGGAGAACTGAATGTCGATGACCCCACAGGAGCCCACTCCAATGAACCAATCACTGCTCACGCTGAGGTGGAGGTAGTGGAGGAAGCTAAGTACGTACATCTCTCAGGGGGGCTTTTGAGTCGTAGATTGAAAAATCTCTGTCTCTTCCTCTCCATGTGCTGCTCATCTCAGACTGAATTCCTCATGCTTATGTCTACAGCTTTCTTCTTTTGACCATTTTATTTTTTGCATGGTACTGTAAGGCTGCTATGCCCTTCTTTAGCTGTGATTTCTGGGAAGATAGTCACTTTTTTTAATCCACCTGGGGCAAAAGACATAGTGAACTGAAAGTATCATGGTAGATGTACCATACATAATAGTAATAAGCCTCTTGGGGCCCAGGAGTGTCTGTCTCCCTGTGGGGCACGGAGAGAAATCTGCTTATCTCAACCATGGGCTGTGCTAAACAGCATTAAATTCCTGGTTCTTGCTTAACCTAACCAATCTGCATAGATAGTCCTGGAACAAAGGTTTCAGGGCCCTTTTGTTCTCACTTAAATGATTCTGGACTCAGGGAGACTCAGATAAGTCAGGCAAGAAAAACAGTCTCTGCGCCTATGAGTGGAAGGGCCTTGAGCAGGAAAGGAAATCGCACTCATCCCAAGAGGGTGAGGCCCTGCTCCGTTTCCTGCTTCTCCTGCATGTGAATGTCTTGCCCTGCCCATCCCACCAGCCCCGTGGTGCTGTCTGCATGGTCTGTGTTTAAACTCTTAGAAAATGGGGTGGAAGGTGAAATAACTGCGGATTCTACTGCAAAAGCAGCATCTCTATCACTTCTTTCCCTTTTTGCCCCATCCCAAAGTCAGATCCAGGTTTAACCTCCAAGAACATATGAGGTAGGGAGAGAGAAGTCCTTTACAGTTCAGTAACTTCTGCCAATCCCGATATGGAGGATTTTTCTTGTAAACCCTTTGTGAACGTTCAGGCTATTCCAGTACCTTGTCTCAGAAGCAGGCAACATATAGTGATACCATGTCCTTGAGCCCCCAAATAATGTAAGTACAAGCCAGAACATGCTTATGCCTCTGGATACAAGGTAGCGAGAGGCCAGTCAAACCCTGCATTCTTCTTCCTTCAGATACGCTTTGCATGGTTGTCCCTTCTGCCCTCTCTTCTGCTCTGTGTCCTATCTACATGATGGGCTCACTTTGCTTTCAAGAGGGCCTTTCCATAGAAAGCCAGGACTTGAGGATTCCTACCCAATAGATAAACAGCAGCCGAGGATGACTTGGACGCTCTCCTGACAAGTCCCTGCTGACTGTAGGCGGCTTCAGATGCTCCTCTCCTGTTTATATAGGCCCTGATATGTATATAAGGCCCTGCTACAGAGGGAGTTTTTATGTGCCAGGAGGACACCTTTTTTAGTAAGAAAACATGCTCCCTATTCTCAGGGACTTTGGAGATTTTAATGCTATTCACAGTTTTTCAGTTTCTGTGACAAAACTTCATTCTCCCAAATAAACAGTGTGGTACTCCTTCACTATGGGTTCTCAACTTTGGCTGCACTTTGGAGTCACCTGGGGCTTGTTAGAAAATACAAATTTCTGAATCCTGGCCCCAAGATTCTGTTTTAATTTCTCTAGGATATGGCCTGAGCTTCAGGAGTTTGTAAAGTTCAGATGATTTGAATGCATAGCCAGGGTTGGGAACCACTGCACTAGGCGTGGTCTGATCCAAACATTGTCTGGGCTTGAAAGATGGCTGTACCCATTCCCACCCCCACCTCACTCCCAGTCACCGTCATGGCTATTACTTTGAAGGCTGGAAGTTTAGCTCTGGTTTTAATAGTATACTTGGAATACCAAGATCAAATGGGCTTTAATCTTCTTATATGCCCTACGCAAGTTTGTCTTTTGAACCCATTCATCTCATTTCATTTTGGTAACTGTGTGCACTACTCGTGTATGTGAGTGTGGTGTTTGTGTCTTGTGTGTAAGCTAGCGGGCTATTCACACCAAGAGATTTCAGTGTGGTGTATTCTGTCCTGGTATAATCTAAACTCTAGGATGTAAAAAGAGTTTAAAGTCTCCCCATTGAACAAAAAGGAGCCCCTGGCCTATTTGCCACCAGTTCCAGGTTTGGGCCTTCTTAACGATATAGAAACCAGAGGGGAGCAATTGTATTTGACCAAATGGCATCCTGAAGCCTATAGCGTAGGGCATTTTGTGTAATGATTCCCCTAGTGATTTCAATAGCTGCCCATCCATCTCACCCAGGGGACTGTCGGGGCACAGTCATGCGTTTTTCTTCTTGGCCTTCTATCTATGTGTGTGGGGGGAGTAAGGCAGAGCCATGTTTCCCCCTGCTTGATCATTTTCATAGGAAGAAGTCACGGGTAGAGAAGCACGAGGCGTCCCAAGCAACCTCTCATTACGTGCGGCTGCGATGCCATTTGTCCCTGCAGCCTGCATGTGAGAAAAAGGGGGCTGCTGCCTACATTAAGATTTGACTAGGGTACTGGGGAGACTTTGTGAACCTTTCACTTCCAAGCTTTTAATTTTGGGCTCTTCTCCCAGCTTGTTTTGTGTAAAGGAGAGAAATAACAGGGTTTTGGTTTGTGTTCTATATACAAAATGAACACCTAACTTTTTCTCTAGCTACAGGATACTTGTCCTTGTTTAAGTATGATTGGAAGAGTAGTGAGGCAAGACAGCTTTTTGGTTGATTTTTGTTATGGTGAGATCACAAGAATTTTGGGTTATCCACTGACGTTAGCTATAAATGAGCAAATGTGGACCTCATTTCCCCTGAAAATGAACAAGAATGGGATTTAGGCCCTTCTCTGGCAGTTATTCCTTAGTCCAGAACAGCGATCTCCTTGCTCTGCGTCATCGCCTGTAAGATAAAGTGTCTCTTAAGCTTTTTCCCCCTTTAGAGGAAGAGCTGACTGCTAGCTGCTTTGGTCAGGCAGTTTGGTCGAGGGACTTCTCTTTCTCTCAGAATAGCTGGGAAGGGTGGCTTAACAAATTGCATAGTAAAACTTCATGTGGGAACCAGAATGGCTTGGCCTTGGTGCCCAATTGAATTCTTACAGGCAGGATCGTGTGCTCTTTGTCCTGCTACCTTCCTGGAAGGTGCCCAGGAAAGCCCACCCTGGGGCACCCACCAACTCTCTCTCTGTTTTGCCTTACCCCTCACCGAGCTCTATCTCCCACCTTGATGCTTCTGTTAGGTGTCTGCCCCCCCCCGCCCCCCCACTCTAGTGTAAGGACCAAGTGGCCTGGACCTACTCGCCCTGCCTTGACAAGAGGAAGAAACTAAACACAGACACAACATTCTGCATGTTTGCATGGCTCACAGGGAGTCGCTTCCATCTCACCTCTGTGGACTAATACCTCTCTCTTTCTCTCTCTCTTCCTTTCTGTGTTTTTCTCTTTATACACTCTGTAGCTGCCTGAAAATGCTCAACCTGTGGTGAGTCCCTCTCTCCAGTCCACATGCTAGGGGAGCGAACCAGACTAGTCTGGGATTGGCAAAGCCAACTAAAATGCCTTAGGAACACTGAATGCCTTCCATATGCCACCTTGTGCCATAACCACCCGGACTGGGGAACCAGATCCACAAGGTGGGGATGGGGCAGGCTTGGACCTAGGAATTAATCTATTCCTTCTTTCCGTTCAAACCCACCTCATCGTTGCCACCTCCTCCTGTCAAAACTATCCCGCAGTACCCCCCAAAAAAACATTTTTTTTTAGCTGAGTGAATTTTTTCCCAATACAACCAGATGTTATCAGACAGAGAGGCTCAGTTAGGAGGACAAAGTTTCTATGTCAGTTGCTTAGATTCTTAGGTTATCCTCATAACCCCATGGACAATTGTACCAGATAATCTCACATTCTGCAGCTCTACACTAGAAATCAGCTGTTTAGGAAAAATCTGTGCGTTTTCTTTTTGGTTCAGCTGGTTCTTCCATCTGTAGAATATGAGTCTGAAAAAAAGAAAGAGCTCTTTCTTGAGGGAGAGATGGACTTTTTGTTGTTGTTTTGGAGTTTTTCTGTATGTTTGTTTTTTGTTTATTGTCTATTTATTTACTTCCTATAAAGAAAGTATACTGGACCAGGGGTTGACTTGGCCAGTGAGATATTGGAGCCTCTTTTCAAGGTGCCTTGAATGCATTCTTAGGAACACCATGAGATATAGAGAAGGGGGAGTTTTAAAGAATCCCTGTTTGGTGAGGCGCATTCTTGGTATAAGACAGAGTCCCCCTCCCAGCTCTCTTTCTGGACCCTGCCTGGGACCTGCCAGGTGCTCCAGAACTAGCTGGTCGATTGCAGTCTGGATTTGTAATGCTCCCATATTGTCTGCATGCGTGGGGTCATGCTTTGTGTGGCGATAACAGCCTGCTGGACTCGATGAGTACCTGTTTCGATTTGTCTTCAGTGACTAGGTTGAGCACTGGTTTCTGAGCCCTAAGCCAAATTTCTTAGGGGGTTTCCCCAGGGACAGAGATGTACCAAAGTTAACAATTGGGTTTTATGGAGATAGAATTCATAGTCTTACAGTATCAAGGAGCACATTGGGCCAATTTGTTTAGCAAACGTGTCTGTAAAACCTGACATTGTTGTGGTCTCTTTTTTCCTGTGAGGTGTCAATCCTGTATGATCCTGACTGCAAATCCAGGGCCTTCTGTATGCTCATCTGACTCGGTGCTTGGAACTCTAGGAGGTCCCAGGGCCTTCCCCCAGAGAGCTTAGGCACCATCTCGCTGGAGAGAGAGAACCAAGTAGTTCTCCAGGACACTTGTGTCATTGCCCCTGGAGAGGTCACTGTGGACAGATGGTCAAGGAAGACTGCATGGATACTGTGGCACTTGAGCCAGGTGTTAGAGCAAGGGAGGAGTGTACAATTAGAGCAAAGAAGAATAGCCCAGCCAAGAACAGCTGAAGGGAGAGAGCAGGACATAGTAAGAGAGCAGTGTGGGAAAGGCAAAGAAATGGCTCAGAGGCCCAGGGGAGCACTAGGCGGCTTTGAGTAGGGAGACCGGGTTGGTTTCACTCCAGCGTGTTAAGAGCTTCTGGTCATCCAATCAGAGAATCAATTGGAAGGAAACCTTAGGCACAAGAAGGGTTCATCCCTTGCCTTCATTCTCTTCTGATAGTAAATATCTGTATGGCGTCTGTTAGTGGGCTTGGCCTGGGTTTACCAAGTTTGACAGGTACCAAAGAAACCAAAGAGTTGAAAAGCAGATTGTGGGTCTGTTTCCTCATGGGTAGGATTATTAAAAGCTTTCTGCTACTGCTGAAGCTTTAACTACAGTAATCAGCAAAAATTAACCTAGGGCTCTAAACCACAGCTCACACTCTCCCCCAGTCAGGTGAATTCAGCATTACACATCAGGTTATGAGACACTTGTAAGCAGACATTAATTCTTACAACTTGCCTCAGAGAAGGTAAAAAAAGAAGTGTTGTTTAAAATGGACGAAAACAGTATTTCAAACTTTTTTGTGATTGCTCTTACTTAAAAAACACCATCTCCTCATCCTAGCATCCTCGAAAAAGAATAAAAATAGAAATTGGCTTAAATATTAGTTACCCCTCTGAAAGTCATGGCTAACAGGGAACAGGTAACTATTGAAATATTGGTGCGCCCATAAGATTTAATTTTCCTTATTTAATATTAATTTCAGGGGAAAAATCATTTTCAGGACATTTAACTTGGAAAATGTCTGTTTTGTAAAGCATATGTACAGAAAAAAAACATTTTTTTTCTTGAATCCTTCCCTAGGGATTCCATTGAGGACTATTTTAAACAATCAAAAGTGTTGGTCATTATTATTTAAAAGAATGTATTCCAAAAAAGCTGAGAAAATTGTCTAAATACAAGTATGATAAGGTTTTTAATATTTTTAAAAAACTATTCTCTAACAAAGTGCTGCAAAAAAAAAAGAATGTATTTAGTCTCCAAACACACATGACACATTGTTTAATGACTATATTCACACTCAGTAGTACTTTACAAATGTCATTGATACACTTAGACCCTCTTAAGCTCCTATTTCCAAAATCTCCGTGTTTGATTCATTCAGATACGGTTAAAGCCCATCATTGTGTGTCTATTTTTGCATTCTAAAAAACTTTCTTCGAATTGTTAATGACTAGTCCAGTGGGTTTAGGAACACCAAGGGTCTGACTAAAAAAGGAGGGAACCTTAGCTACAGTGGAGAACTTAGGGTATAGGAAGTAAGTAACAGTTCTTTATTTCCATAGGAATATTCCTGGCATTAACCTGGAAGGACTGGGCAAGAGACCCAAAGATAGTTTTCTCAGAAAAGCTTTTCTTTCAGGGGTCCAGCAAGTCTGAGTCATACTTCCAACTTTACTCCCTTCCATCACCTGGCATCTTTGAGTCATCTACCACTTTCTGCCCCTCCCATTCTCATTTCCCATGTGTCAGCTTCCTGGAAAGGACGTACCTTGTGCACCCGCCATGCCATAGCCGTCATCACCCCCTTCTGGACTAGTCACTGCCTGAGCAAGAGGTGCTTCCTATTCCAAAGGAAGGAGGAAGGAGGGGACACTCGGGCTTAGGGATGTGCCACAGCTGTGGCTGTTGCCCAGAAGGCAGCACGTGGAGGGCTCGTGCAGGGAGCAGGGCCCAGCTGCCATCCTAAACAGGGTCAGTCCTATAACCCAGTCTGGCACAGCAGCAGCAGAGTCAGGAAGCTAAGCTGAGGAGGGCCCTGCCACCAGATGCCTCCTGGTGATCAGCTCCTGGGCGGTGGCATTGATCCTCTCTGAATGACGCGTGTGGGCTATGCTGATGGCGGTTCTTACTACAGTCAAGGCTTCTGCCTCCTCCTGGTAGCTGGGTGAGGGCAGGGGTGCGGATAGAGAGTATCCTTCATCCTTCATTGGTAGCATCACGAGGTCCTCCTAGAGTTCCAAACATCAGACTTTTCAGGGGGTTTGCTTGCCTTAGTTTAGCCTCCATAGCCCCTGATCACTGAAGTTGCATTAGATGATGTTGCCCTCTGTATCAAGGGGCAGACAATGAACGCTATTCTTATGCAGCCTTAAGGACCCCCAGGTCCTTGGTTCCAGATAAAGATGAACCATCTGGGTTGGCTCTTCTACTAGGAAATAAGCCTTCTTCATCCTCCTTCCAAAAATGCTTGTTTCAGCCCTGCCTAGCCTGCAGAGTTTTTGATAATTAGGTTTAATGGCTGCAGGTTGAAATGATGCAGCTATTTCCCTTAGCTTTCCTGGCAAACACTGCCCACTGCCTCCAGTATGTGCACAGTAGATGGTGGGCGGCCCTGTGGGTGGGTGCCAGAGGGGCATTTCCACCCCCTGCAGTAAGCAGAAGCAGGCAGGAGTCTGTTAGAAGCTGCAGGCCTCTCCCGCTGACTTGCAATGTTCCTTGTGCTCCAGGTGCTGCTGTTTCTTTAAGAGGAAAAGGAAGAAGACTGCTCAGCGCCACAAGTGACCAGTGCCTCCCAGGAGTCCTCAGGCCCTGGGGACTCTGACTCAATTGCACCTGCAGCTCCTGCCATTTCTCATTGGAAAGGACTCCTCTGTGGGGGAGGGTGGAGATCCAAACCAAAAGGAAGAAAACAGATGCCCCCAGAAGGAGCCAGTGTGGGCAGCCAGGGCCCAGTGGGTCAGTGGCTGTCCCCACCTGCCTAAGGCTCTGAGCAGGTCCCAGAGCTGCTGCTTCTCCACTGCTTGCCCGCGGGGCCACCTGGTTGACTCTCCTTCCTATTGTTTACAGTGAAGGTGTCATTCACAAAAACTCAAGGACTACTAGTCTCTTCCCTTCCCTTAGTCTACTCCTGGTTCTTGCCCCACCCTCAGTCCTCTCCAGCATAAAAGCTAGTGAGTTGAAGGCTTTGTCTGCTGCAGAAGCTCAAGAGGCTGGGAGTGCGGCCAAGAAGGGAGGAGGCAGGCCCGAGCTGGGGGAGAACCTTCTCCACCTACCAGGTGTATCTGGCGGTATGGCTCCCTCATCCTCTGTGCCTGTGCAGCCTCCGTCCCCAGCTGGCCACGGGGTGCAGGCTACCCCCTCTTTCCCTCCCCCCACTCCTGTGAAGAAGTTACACTGTAGGACACAAGCTGTGAGAAATCTGCAGTCTACTGTCCCCATGTGTTGGCGTTCTTAGCTTTTCTTGACAAGTGAACTCTTCTCCAGTCAGTAGTAGGACAATGCAAATTGTTCTGAGCAAAGGAAAAAAAAACTGACTTGATTGCACTTTTAGTTTTTTGTTTTTGTTTTTTAACAGAAAACATGGCAGATGCATATTGTGTCTGGTTATATTGGGAGTTGTACTTTTTTTCTGTTTTGAGGGGATGGGGCCAGCCAAGCCATTCGGAGAGAACATGGGTCCGGAGGACATTCTCAATGGGAAGAGCTGGGTCTGCAGCACCCAGAAGAGAAGAAGCCAAACTCTACGTCATTCTGAGTGAACGCTCAGATTGGCAAGGAAACATACTTGAATTTTCATTCATCTTCTCAGCTACTGAAGAATGTCCCTACCAGAACCTCTTGACCTCATCAGCCTGCAGTTTGGACAGCCTAGCTCTCCAGTGCGTGGGATGAGCCAGCCAAGCCAGACTGACCAGAAGACGGTTTATCCCAGAGAAGGAGATATTTTAAAAAAAAATTGGAAACATCTGTTTTCTCCACTGCCAGGGACTTCCAACTAGATAGCCATGTGACTTCCTTAGTGATTTAGGGGACAAAATTAGTGATGAAACAGCCACCATCATATTGCCACTAGTGGACAAAAAGAGGAGGAACGTGAATCTGCCTTCCAACTGCCAAAGGAACCTCAGGATTTGGCATCACAGGGCCAGGAAATAAAATTGGTGTGTACCGTCTGCCGCCATAGCTGCATTGTAGCCTTTGGGCTGGCCAACCTTATCAGAAACTAAGCACCTGCAGGTTTTCTCCCAGCAGGCCCCCAGCAGCAGGCTTAGCACTTAGTACATGGGGCTATAGTGAACAGGAGGGTAAGATCGGTTGGTGCTGGAAAGTTCCAGGGGAAAGGAGACGGAACTGAAAGCTCTGAAATCTTCTCAATTGGACATAGACTCCTTTCAGATAAGATGGCCTTGTATCTAGAGCATGTCTCCCCAGTACACTCTCCGCCCCCTGCCCCCCATGGTGCAGTCACGTGACATACTACCATGAAAAATCTTGGTTCCTTATTCACTGCTTAAAAAATTATTAATGTATGGAGTTAATCTTCTCATGCTCGATTTTCATTTCAGTTCAGTGGCTTATCCAAACAGTGACCTCTCATTCCAGATGTGATAGAGGAGAAAAGATTATTTACACCAAGCGATGAGGTCTTGTATTTGGGAGTAGGGCAAACTAACCATAGAGGATAATGGCGTGGTTTTGGGAATGAACACAGAAATCATAGCCCCTGTCTTGAGGTGTACGGCTGTCTTTTGGACTAGTAGGGATCCTTTCTGGTAGTTGACGTTTCCTGACAGGTCCCTTGATGTATCTTACATGGAGCAGAAATAGCAGCAGTAGCATGAAGCAGTTACTGGGCTTCAGCTGTTCCATCAGGCCTTGGCTAAGCAATATCACTTCCCTGGCTTCAAACCTGCTCACTTATGTAAAGATTATAATCTCCCATTTGTTTAAAAGAAATTTTCCTGTATACAGAGCCGAATGGCTGGGAGACGCAGTGTCATACCCCTTCCCCAGGAGGATTTTGAATCTTAATAATGGATTTTTTTCCTTGACATTACCTAGTAGTTAAGGCATAATCAATGAAACTTACATAGTTTTTCAGTTGGTATTTGGGCAACTAATTTCTATATAGAAACTTTTATTTCCTCTTCCCTGTATAGAAAAAGCCTTGCCTCTCAAGGGAGGGCAAGGGGACATGGTGGCAGAGCCTGGAGCCTCTTGGCACTCCATACCCCACTAAGTGCCTCCCTACCCCCTATGCCCCACCCTGTTTCCACAAAAAAACGCAAAGGCAGCGGCCAGTTTGGCTGCAGGGCAAGCCCCTTTGCAGCCGGGTTTGACCTTTTTTGGTCTTAAATTTTTTAAAGGCTAGCTCTTAAGGGACTGAACCTAAGCAGTTTTGGGGGGTCCTTCCTCATGCACTGTTTTTACTCTCTGCCCCTCACAGATCTCTTACTAGATACTTGATTTTCATAACAAAAGTGACAAGACCCAGGTCCCTCTGGCATGCAGGGTAATGGTGATCCTTCTAGGGCCTTTGGCACTCCAGGTGGTTCCAGACCCCTGAGAAATCCTTTAAAATTAAAAAAAAAAAAAAAAAAGAGTACCTAAGGAGTAGTTTGGCCATCAGTTCCACCCCCACCAGCACATCAGGGCTTCCTCCTCAGCTCTGTTGCTATAGTTGCTTAGCTCTGTGCCTCAGCCAAGTCCCTGGGGTTGGGCACTCCCTCCACCCACCCCCCTACCCAAGTCCACTTGCTCTGTAGTTTGAGCTTTCTTCATTTCCTAGCCATGATGCCTAGGTACCTTTTTCTTTGGAATTGATGCAGTTGTTTCTGAGTTAGTATTAAGCGCTAACAGCACCTGTTCATAAAAAACCCTTCATATTATAGCATTAGGAGGCCTCCCAAGCCCTGCAGTCCTTCAGGCATTGCATCCTGAGCAGATGGAGGCAAGCAGGCCAGGAATCCACCAAGGCATAAAGGGTCCTTCCCATGTGATCAGAGCACGACTTGTGTCTGTGAGGTCCAAGCATGTAAGGGCTGATCACTTGCATGTATGCACACCTTGGCGTTTCCCAATGATCTCACTGCCGACTGCTATGCAAGGGCAGACAGTGTGCCAGCAGCCAGTGTGCTCCCGTGGCTGCCTTCGTTAACACTCCTGCTATTTGGGGTCTGTCTAGGAAGGTACGAGTCAGGTGACTAGGTTGGCATCCAGTTAACGCTCCATTTTACTTTGGAATAGAGGGGCAACAGGAGCAGGATCCTGAGGTTTCCAGCAGAAGTGTTGAATGCCTGTTAATTCTCAATGAACTCCAAGTACATAGAAACAGCTCCTGCCATTCGCCAGAAGAGGTGTCCATTGCCCCTAACTTCCAGCTTAGCTCACTGGAAATGTACACTGGCAGTACGAATTCAGTGTTGATTCTCAGTGTTAGTAATCACTTTTAATGTTAGAAATATGCAGTGATGGTAATGTTATGTCAGAGTGGTTACTAAAGATCATAGCCTTAACTTTTTTTATGCAAAAGATATGACCCTGTTCCCCCTCCCAGTGAGCAAGCATGGCCTGCATTTTTAAAAAATAAGCACTTCCATGGCAGCCTAGAAAGCATCTTCTCAAAAGAATTTGATCTTTCTTCTGATGCATCTCTCCCAAGTCCACATGCTTCCTGTGGCCCAATCTCCTCTTCCATGTTCATATTTAAACCTGTTTTCCATTCCCAGTCACTTACCCTGACAGCATTATCTTCAGTGTCAGAGCCACCACATTAGGGTTAGAGTTTGTCACATTGGGAGCTTGCAGCGCCATACAGCCAACATGGCCTCGGCCAGTCCACTGCCATCATCCCCACGATTGCTCCAAGGTGGGCAAATGAATTCCAGAAACCCTTAGGGAGCCAGGATAACTAGGTACCCCACCTGGATTGGCCCTATGAGCAGCAGGCACTTGTCTTGGGGTTCTTGGTCTTGCTGGCTCCAGGGCTCCAGGAAAGTCCCATCTGGAGTTTTTGCTGGGCAATGACTCCCAGTGTCCCATGATGGGTTGATAGGAATCAAAATGGGATTCCTGTGGTTTTGTTTTCTTGGGTGGGGGGGTGTATCTGAAAAGAGGAAACCAAGCCTTTCTGAGGGTTTGCAGAGTTTTAAGCAGTGTTTTAGCCACAAATAAGGAATCTTGGAAGTCTCTGATCAATTAAGCAGTCTTAAAAACATGTTTTCCCTAACTCCTTTTGCAGGTGGCTGAATGCAAAAGAATAGGTTTCTTCATTGTATTCAACACAGTAAGTAGGTCCCCTGGGTATTGACAGTAGTAGTTAACATGTTTCCTCACAAAGCAGCCAGGAAGTCCTCTCCAGTATTTGTAGATCAGCTTACAGAGGAGAAAGTGAATGTGTGTTCCATCTATTTCTAGTTTGATTACAAAACTTGATGTTATAAAGAAACCTCAGTTCTGTGGACAGAATTTCTTTTGTTAGTTTTCTTCTTTATTCCTCACAGTCATCTTTCCGGTGCCATCACCCCTTTCAGACTCTGAGAGCAGAGGGTGTATCCATGGTAATAAGTGGTGCGGTGCAGTCATCCTAGTAACACACATGAGAAGTCAGCCGCCCAGACCGCCCCTTCCGCGCAAATCCCCTTTCAAGGCAGGTGAGACATATTCAGTGTTCCTCTTTGTGAGCTCCAGACCAAATCCCAGGCCAGCCCTTGCACCGAAAGCATTTTTAAGAGGCTTAATCAGTCTGTTAGGAATGTCTCAGGAAAGATGAGCCATTTCTTTGGGGGAAAATATATTTACAGATGGGTGTGGTTGCATTTGTATGCCCCTGTGTGTGTGTGTGCTCATCTGTATGCATTTCAATTCCATAAAAACCCAGCCCAAGCTGCTGGGACCATGTGTTCCTGAGTATTCTAGGAAGTAAAGTGACTTCTCAAGTTAGTGTCACAGCAAGCTGGCTCTGGGAATGAGCCCCATTTATCAAGCAGAAGAGTAAACAGCAGGAAAGATAGAGATGAAACCAAAAATATTATAACCCCCCCAATGGAAAATAATGTTCCCATTGGATATATTACATCCTCTAATTTATTATATTATTATTTTGTCTTTCTTTAATCTTTGCCCATTATACTTTTAAAAAGATGTTGAGATGTTGATTGCAATTTTTAAAGGCTAGATGATGTATAAATCAGCTGTGGAAATCAGTTTTAATTGATGTGTGGATGTGTCTGATCATTGTTAGATGCCTTTTTTTTTTTTTACCTTTGGTTTTAGATATGTACTGTTTCATGAATCCTGGCACTGGTCACAAAGCTCAGCTGTGAAAATGAAACTTGTAGTATTTTTAAACATGAATGTCAATTTCAAGTGTATTTGAAATGATTCCTCCAGGAGAGAGATTTGTAACACCATTAGGAAAAACTTCTCTGCAGAGGAAGTAGCCTTCTTTGGAGAAAATGGAAAATGGGTCTTGATATGTTATCTCAGCGTAGCCCATTTCCTAGGGCACCATGGAAAACACAAATGTGATCATTAAGTATACCTCTTCCCCAATTTGGGGAGGAAAGGACTCAGTTTGCACCCTTTTTGTATGTAAAATAAAATGTCTTACCTTTCTTGGCTAATTGTGCTTGTTTGTTTCGTTGGTGTATCTGATTTTAATCTCCCCGGGTTCATTTGTAACTAACAATCCTGGTAGGACTAATTTTGATGATTCACGCCTCTAGTAAAGGCAAATAATGCCTGAAATTGGGGCATTCTTGCTTCATTCCTTTGGGTTGAACATAGCCTTCCTTCTCTTGTGGGTCACTTTAAAAATACATATTCCTGGCAAAATTTGGACATAACTAGCTCCAGTATCCCCTCTGGTTCTTAGGCTTAGGAGTTAAGATCTGCTCTGTGGAACAGCTTTGAAATAGTAGCTTTATACTTCTCTACTAATGAGGAACATCTGTACAGACAGAGGATATAACTGTGATATGCAATGTAAAATCACAAGAGCATATATTGGCGGCAAAAACAACTTCCCATCTGAGCATGATTGGCTGGTTGCAGTTTTTTCTGTTATTCCTCAATTACTACTTAATGATTTGTTTTTCACTGATAGGCAAGTAAGAGCAGAAAAAAAAAAGTTTAAGATCATCATGAGCGAAAACCTTCACATTGAGAGTATTTTTATCCATCAAGCTTAATTTTTTCTTTCAAAAATGGAGAGGCGAGGAGAAAGCTGCTTTTGTGCCATTTTAGCATTAGTTCCTCGTGGAGAAGGCCACTTTGAAAACATAGATTGGTAAACATTTTTCTCATGTGGATATGGATAACATGAGACCAGTGAGTGGGGAAAGAGGGCTGGCAGATGAAAAAAATTAAGGGGCGAGTGTCTGTTTGGAAGATTATTTTTGTTGGGGCAACAACTTTATCTAAAAGAATATATGCACCTGCTTGGTGGACATGGTCTTGATTGAGGTGTGAGGATTAGAAATAGCAAATGTCGTTTGTGTTTATGTACGAGAACTGCCTGTTGAAGCGCTGCAGCCTGCCTGCAGTGACCTCAGTGTAAGGAAGGACCAGTTAATGCTAGTGGTCATGCATTACCTCAAACTCAGGTTAGTACCTCCTCTAGAGAGCAAACTGCAGAGTTCAACTATGGAAGTGGAGTCATGCCTACCTACAGTCTGGGCTGTGAAGACCAGGAATTTCTACAACGTTAACATTTGAAAATTAGTTTTAAAGACGTTTAGTAACATCAGAAGTCCAAGTTTGGGGAATAAGATGGGAGTGTAATTTTTATTTTGGGAGGTGTGTAAGACTCCCAGTACTGAAGTATATGTGTTGTAGACGAGCGCACCAAGCATATGTGAAGACCTGAAATAGTGGTGTAGAGGCATCTGACAACTATCCCTGACCCTCCTGAAGGTTTCTAGAAAAGGGAGACTAAATCTCATACCCTTGTATATATTATTTCCCACCTAAGTGCTAATGTGACGCTATCACAACCAATCTTTATTGAGCACTTAGCCCTGCAGGAAGCTTTACAGAGTAAGTGCAACACAGTACATTCCTCACGAACAAACAAAAAATGTAGTTGTTTGGGGAAATAAAAAGGATATTGAAAACCAGAGTATACAATACAGTGTGCCTTGACTTCATACAGTGGTAAGCACAGTAAGAGAAGAGAAGGGAGAGAAAACGAGTAGTAAAGTGATAGGCACTAAGTCAAAAAGGAAGTGGGTTTTGAAGCAAGTTTTGCAAGACAAGTACAATGAGCTGTATAATGTCAATACTATGGGTAAGCATAAATGTGCCCTGAGTTTTTGGAAGCTACCACACTTGAACCCAATCTGGTGATGACTAATCTTACTAGTCCAGTACGGACAATCACAAGGGTCTTTGGCCCTTCAGCATGGACTTCCTAACCAAGACTTCCACTTCCGCAAAGGCAGAGCAGGCCCCAGGACGTCCCGCTGTGTATGCTGAGGTTTGTACTCTCTTCATAAACCCAATCACCGTTCTCTTTGAGGGGGTACCGCCTTCCGCTGAGCCCCCATCCTGTGGGTGGGCCTTAGCGAGCTGGGGAGCCAATGAGGCCGCAGTAACGTGGCAGCCACCCACGAGCCCGCGTCTCCGCCCGTCCCGTTGGCGAGCCGGGCTCCGCCCGCCAGAGGGACCTACTATCCGGCGCCGATCCAGAGGGGGAAAATGAGGCCCTCCTCTTTCTAGGAGGCCTGATGGAGCACTGATTCCCCCCCTCGATCGCGCTCGGTGGTGGCGCCGGCGCACACACGGCCTAGCCCTCGCTTTCTTCCGGCCTTCGGCTGCCCCGGCGGAGCAAGCTTCTCCCGGTGGATGCTGCGCCTCTCGGAGAGGAACATGAAGGTGCTCTTCGCCGCCGCCCTCGTTGTGGGCTCCGTCTTCTTCCTGTTGTTGCCAGGACCCTCTACGGCTGATGAGAAGAAGAAGGGGCCCAAAGTCACCGTCAAGGTCCGGCCTCCCCTCTTCTGACCTGCCTGGCAAGGCCCGCCCTCCGCCGCCTGGGGTTGGCCTCGGCGCCGCTGGTCACTGGTGTCCGAGGCATTCAGGGTCCCGGAGCTCGGGCCTGGGCGTCCGCGGCTTTGACTCAGCCCCTCCCTAGTCTCCCGGCTGTGGCCTCGTGGCGCCTGGACGGTCCTCCCCCATTCAGACAGAGAATGATCTGGACCCTCCCTAACATCCCTGCCCTGACCCAGGAGTTGGCGCCCGGGATGCCCAGCTGGAGCCGGCACCGTCAGCCTCAGAGAAGTCTTTGCAAATACCCGCAGTGCTGGCGAAATCATAAAAGCTCACGTCTGCCAAATTGCGAATCCTTTCTCCACTTTGGTCAAATTGTAGCCACTTCCAATTACAAAGCACAGCAATATAGTTTAAACTTGGCGTGGTAAGCTTAGGCTCCCGTATTTTTTTTTTTAATGTTGATTTCTAGAATCTGAACCTATTATTTAGAGCAAAGGTTGTTACCCTGTAGTGCAAGGAGAATGTAAACATGTTTTCTGGGAAATAGGTTTGGAACTTGCGTTAGATTCTCATATGGTTTTTGTAGCCACCAAAATCAGATACAGAAACACTGCTCTTAAAATTCGGCTCTGTTTTCCTCTCCCATCCTCAGGATAGTTTCTTGGGCCCTCTCTTCCCTAGCAAGGCCCCTTTAAAGAGGCTAAGTTTGAAATGCTCTTTTTCCTCAGGTGTACTTCGACTTGCGAATTGGAGATGAAGATATAGGCCGGGTGGTCATCGGTCTCTTTGGAAAGACTGTTCCAAAGACAGTGGATAATTTTGTGGCTTTAGCTACAGGAGAGGTAAGAGGCTAGAGTGGAGACAGTGAAATTCAAATAAAGTGAAGTTGGAGGTAGATAGGGCTGGCAGAAAACTGAACTGCAGAACATGGCCCATCTGTGGCAGGAGCCCTGAGTCTCAGCTAACTGTTGACCTGTTGGCAAGGGCAACCCAGTGTTATCTTGAGTTGTTTAAACTGAATCTAAAAATCTGGATTTTTTTTTTTTGAGAAATTTTAAGACATTGCAATAACCAAAGAAAACATATCTGTGGAAACTATAATTTGTGGCCTCTGCACCAAAACCTTCTCTTAAGAGTAAGGGGCCCAGAGTTTCCCAGATTTTAAGAAAACAAGAAGGCCCCATTTAAGAAAGTTTGTATTCCAACTTAACTTTCCATTGGGTCAGCAGATAACCTTTTTTTTTTTTTTAAAGATTTTATTGGGGAACGGGAACAGTGTTGGGAAATTGGGGAAGGGAACAGCCAAGTTGTTGTCCTTCAATCTTAGTTGCGGAGGGCGCAGCTAGCTAGCTCCAAGTCTAGTCACCATCCCGCCGCCCATCGGCAGCTCACGGCCGCATAGCTCAAGATGCTGTGTTCAGTCTTAGTTGCGGGGGGGCATAGCCCACCATCCCATGCGGGAGTCAAACCAGAAACCTTGCTGTTAAGAGCTCACACTCTAACCATTGAGCCATCCGGCTGCCTGTTGGCAGTTCAGCAGCAGCTCAGCTCAGGTGCAGCTCACTGGCCCATGTGGGAATCAACCTGGCAACCCTGTTGCTCAGAGTTTGCGTTCTTAACCAACTGAGCCACTTGGCCAGCCCAACCTTTTTTTAGAAAAAAAGAAGAGGGAAAAGGCGGAGGCATTGTGTGAAGTAGGATTATATAAAGTCTGGGAATTGTATAAAGGCAAAGGAATGTGCAGTCTAGCCTTTCCTGGATGTGTGTGCTCCAAGTCTGGCCTGTGGCCACTGCTCACTCAGTAGCATGTTAAACAGTGACTCTGGCCATCAGTGGTGTCTCTTCTGCAAGCATGAGTTGTGGGCTACGTTCCTGCAGGGCCAGGAGGTCTGTCTGGTGCTTCATGCCACCTCCACACCTTCTCACCTTCTCATCCCTTTTTCTAGAAAGGATTTGGCTACAAAAACAGCAAATTCCATCGTGTGATCAAGGACTTCATGATCCAGGGTGGAGACTTCACTCGGGGAGACGGCACTGGAGGTAACTCAGTTCCTCTGGGCAGAGGGGTCTGTCAGTGCAGCTTCCCAGGTGGGAGGGCCGGGCTATGTTGGGTAGACAAGACCTCTTCCTTCCATAGTTTCAGAGGTAGGCCTGTCACCCGCATTGAGACCAGCTACACCCATCTTAGTACAGGGAACTCAGTACAAAGAAGAGGGAATAATGGGGGGCGGTCAGATGGAAATAAGAGGATCTTGCCCGGCTGGCAGACCTGCTGATCCAGGCCTACCACCTCAGTGACTTCTCACAATACCCTGTTGGGGGAGAGGAGCAAAGTGAGACACATGAGTAGGTGATTCTGGGTCAGGCATGCAAAGCCTATGTGGGCAATCTTGGAAGCCCCAGCAAGGGTGGGAGAAGTTGCTTTCCTTGGCAGTATCCCCCCTGAGACCACTTGGCAAGAGCTGAGTCTTATTTCTGCACTACTTGTACACATCGGACAGACAGATAACCTGGATTAACCCACAGGTCTCACCAAGCTTGGGTGCATAGCCTGCTGTTTCTTGAGACCGCATCTGCAGCTCATTCAGGCTGTAATGGGTTCTGAGGATGCAAAAATAAGGGGCCAGCAACTCGCTTTCACTTCCAACGCCTGCTTACTCACAAATTGGCCGTAATACAGCCTTTAGGACTCAGGCTCTGTCCTCAAGTTATCATCTAGGTGGGAAGAACCAGAAAACACTAGGAAAGCTCCGTAACAACACAAGAGATAAGTAGTAGCTGGCAGAAACAGTGGAGGAGAGGAACAAAGCAGACATAATCCACAGTGCTGTATTCATGGTCACATACAGTTGGGTTAGACCCAGTGTCTGCCACCTTCTTGCTTTGTGGTCGCAAGCAAATGAATCCCCTGAACTTCAGTGTCCTTTTGTGTAAGGTAAGAGTGGTAAGAGTTCTGGGTGCTGTGAGGGTTGGGTAAGATCTTGAGTGTTAAGTGTCCAGTACATGGTAAGTAAAGTCAGTCATTGTTGAAGTGCTGACGAACACAGCAATCATTTCGGGCCAAGGTGATCAGGAAATGGCCTTGTAAGTGTGAGGAAAGATTTGAGTGGGTCCTGGCTAGGAAGAATTGGAATGAGCAAAGAGGCAGAGTAAGGTGGGAACCCAGCCCTGTTCTGCACCAGGAGCTTGCCCAAAGGTGGGGTCGGAAATGGAAGTAGAGCACACTAGCTTTGTCCTACATGGAGTGAGGCTCCGCTGAAGACTGAATGGGAGGAAGACCCAATCACAAAAGAGTTTGAGGGAAAGTAACGTGGCAGCAGGATTCAGGATGTTAAGGCAGGAGCAAGCTGACTGGTGAGGGGAGTGGTGTCCCTGGGTAAGGCAGTGTGGGCTGGAACCCCAGGAAAGGATAGCCTCGTGGGTAAGAGCAGAGATTCGAGAGCCAGACCCCCTTGAATTCCAGCTCTGCTGCCTCCTAGCTTGGATGCCTTTAACCTCTTAGTCTCTTTATCTTTGGAATTGGGTTATTAGTTCCTGCCTCATCAGGGGGGATTTTTATGTGTAAAATGCTTGTTATCCATCACGCATCTACTCAGCCATTATTGCAGGAGGGCTAGCAGAAATGGAAAGAAGGACTAAGTGATGGGGGTGGAGACAATGTTGACAGAATGCAGAGGACAGTTAAAAAAATAAGTGAAATTTGGAGGGACAGATGACAAAGGATGTTGAATTTAACATAAAAAACTATCCCTCAAAATATGAAACTCCTTGCATCTTGGGAAAGTGATTGGAGTGAAGGGTGTAGATTTCAGGATTGTCTGAATAGCAGCAGTAATTGAAATCCTGCAGTTGGTTGAGACGTACAAAGAGGATTTTCACATAGGGAGGCTTTTATCCAGCACCCCAGCCAGGAGTCATTGCACGACGGTGGAAGAGACCAGAGTCTTTCCGTTGTGGGAGTGAGAAGTGGGATACCCCCACCCTCATCAGCCAGGGTCGAGACATTCTTGGTCTTCAGTCTTCCCATTTGCTACACAGTCAGAAATATCTCCCTGATTAACTTTCCCAACCTGGTTCCATTCTGTGGAACTATAGGATGAAAATATGTGTACTGAGGGGAAAAAAGGGTAGAAAGTTGTTGGGTAAAAGAATGAAAATTCTTTATTGCTGGGTTTCTCGGGGCCTGTAGTAGACTAGTACGCAGTGTGAATCTCTAGAAGGGGACCGGGAAAAAAAGGGCGCAGTATTTCTCCTGGATCTTAGGATCACTGAAACAGTGTAGAGATCTGCCCTTGGCTCCCTTGGTCATGTGCCCCGGCCCCAGACCCAGACCCCTCCTTACACACATTCATAGCCACTTTTTTTCTGTTCATTTGTTGATAAGAGGCTCTTGACTTTCCAAAACCCAAATAGCAGCTACCTCAGAGTCTTCTATTCTCTTAGGAAGAAAAGTTGGTCAGCCACAGCATTCCTCCTTTTCTGGAGAGTTCTTACCTCCTCCCCTGCCCCCTGCACAGAACCTCTCCACCAGAGCCCCTCCATGGCAGGCCTCTCAGGCCTTAGCCAAGGCTAGTTAACATATGTGCCTTATTTAAAAACCATGAAACCATATTCTTAAAGTAATCCATTGTGTGAGCTGTTCACTAAGTCGACCTAGCCTCATGCCCCACTCTGTCTGTCACCATGGTTTGGCTCCAAGGCCAAAGGGTAAGAGGGGTTAAGCTTTGATGCCCTTGTACTCCACTTGAGCTTGGCCTGGCACAGAGGACAGGTCGAATCCTGTCCTGGAGTCCTCGCCTCAAAGATGTGCTTGGTTTGTGCCAGCTTAGCTCCCCTGACCTACCCTGTCTTTCTTCCCAGGTAAGAGCATCTACGGAGAACGCTTTCCTGATGAGAACTTCAAGCTGAAACACTACGGGCCTGGCTGGGTGAGCATGGCTAATGCGGGCAAAGACACCAACGGCTCCCAGTTTTTTGTCACGACAGTCAAGACAGCCTGGCTGGACGGCAAGCACGTGGTGTTCGGCAAAGTTCTAGAGGGCATGGTGAGTTTTCGAGCCTGGTGACGCAGACCCTGGGCCCGGGACTCCATATGTTTTGTCCCTTTCCCAAAAGATTCAGACCAGTGTTTGTGTCTGCAAACCTGGGGGGATTTAAGAATAAATAGCCTACCTCCACACCCCCAAGTTGTGAATCCTTCCAGGCCCCAGGCAGGGTCCCGCCAGGAGGCCTTAAGGCTGCGCCACTGCAGGGGCCTCCGTGCCATCACTCAGACAATGACATGCTGGCACTGCCCTGAGTTGTACAGGGCACAGCTGAACATGATGTCCACGAAAAGCCACTTGGTACCCACTCCCCAGCCACCGTCTTTCCTCCTCCTCACCCTTCGCCCACCTGGGTTGTACTGTAGAGGTTCAAACTGCTGGATCCTCTTGTCAGAGCTGGGTTCTCCCTGCCCTGGGCTAGCACCTAGCCGTGATTCTGTTAGGATTTTGGTGCCTCGAGGTTTGTAGGCTGTTCATCATATGGGGGTCTCAGCCCTCCCCAGCCATACACTGGGGCCTGTCTCTCTTGAGTGGCGGACCTCCTGACCCACCCTGCTTTCCTGCTTCTGCCTTTCCTTCCCAGGAGGTAGTGCGGAAGGTGGAAGGCACCAAGACGGATGGTCGGGACAAGCCTCTGAAAGACGTGATCATCGCAGACTGTGGCAAGATCGAGGTGGAGAAGCCCTTTGCCATCGCCAAGGAGTAGGGCCTCAGGGATCTCTTCCCTTTGAGCAACTGTCTGTGTGGCCCTGTTGCCCACTTGAGGGGTGAAGACAGCCCGCCACAGGGCTCTGCTGCACTGGCCCTAGTGCTGGCATCTGGTGGAGTGGACCCCTCCTCTCACATTCCACAGGCCCACAGGCCCAGTTTTGTAACAAACTCCTACCAACACTGACCAATAAAAAAAAAGTGGGTTTTTTTATAACCTGTGTGTGGGCTAGGTTGTGGGGCCTGCAGCACCTCCCCCAAGGTCTACGTCCTAGCCTGTCTGGGACTCCTGTGGCCCCTGCCTGTCCCCTCCTTGGGCTCCAGCCAGAGTCCTTTCCCCAGGTGCTACCCATAAAACCTCGAGCAGGAACTTTTGCTCCTTGCTTCTGACCTTTGCCAGCTACCACTTTGCTGCAACCTTTGCTTGCCCTCTCCTGGTGTTGGTGAGGAAATACACCTGTACCTTTTCATAGCCTACCTCCTAAATTGACTTCTCCCTCTCCTTACCCTCTGTCGTCCCCGCCCTGGCCCCAGGGCTCTGGGAGTGCAGGAGTTCTAGCACCCCCAGCCACCAGTGCAGCTGAGTTCTGAGCCTGGGGTGGGTAAGTCCTGGGTCCAGTCCAAGGGGGACCTAGCCTATGTCCCTTTTATGGAGCTCACAGTACTGAGGCACGTGACTGTCCTGGCAGATAGTCCAGAGGCCTCTGGGCTGGTCAGGGCATCGGTGGCAGAGATGCAGGGTGACAAGGCTCCTCTGGCTGGGCGTCAGCTGTGCTGGTGCTGAAGCCGTAGAAGCCTTGGAGCACACCATTCACCACCACATTGGGCAGAGGCTCTAGGACAGAAGGAAAACAGGAGGAAGGTGTAGAGAGCTGTAGGGGAAGAGGAGGCGTGGGATGGGCCTGACCTCAGGCCTGCAGCTTCCTGAGCCTCTGGCCAGGCTTAGCCCTCCTTAGGGAGTAGGAGCCCCTGCCAAGGCAGCAGGTAACAGCTGGTCACCCAAAAGGAGGCTGAGGCATGGGCATTCCCAGTTCACATTCTGGGCACATTAGCTTGGTAAGGCCAGGCTGGTGAGGAATGCAGACCAGGGGAGCCAAGCTTATTTCACCATGTCTGCTCCCTGAATACAAAGGCTGTGGGAGCAGCAGGGCAGGTAGGGTCCCAAAGGAGGGCAATTGGGAGGGAGAAGCTCCCTGGAGGTCCTGGGAGCTGAGAAATGGCAAGTTTACCCCTATTCCCACCTTGCTACCTATGCCCTAAATATGGGTTATAGGTCAGAAGCACCCCCTCACCTGGGGATGGGATGCAAATGTAGGGATCCACGCAGAAGCTGATGACAGGCTGGTGGTGCAGCTGCACTCTAGGACAGAGGATCAGGAGCATTGGAGAGGGAGGTGGGACAGTCTCCTATTAGTTAGAGACTAGGAATTGACATCACCAAGGACCATTGAAGAAAAAAAAAACCAGGTGAGAGGGCAGTGGGCTAAGGAGGCACCAACAGGAAAACCTGGACCAGGACAGACAAGACAAAACATTTTGGCAGCAGGCCGGCCTCCTGACATACGGCCACCAGGGGGCAGCAGGGGCGTGTATGGGTAGGGACTTTGACTTGCCTGCTATTGCTAGGCAGGAACTCCCGGAGGGTCCTGAAAAGAAGAGAGGATGTGAGCTGATGGGGATGCCCAGGGGAGTCCAGATCTTCACCTCCCAGGGGGGCCACTTCGTCTATTTGTAAAAAGCTCATTTCCAGAGGCAGCTGGGGTAACCAAGGCTGTCCAGAAAACAGTCCCTCCACCAGGGTCAAGAAAGCTGATGAGGGAGATCATGTCTCCGAGTAAAAAAAGGAACAGGGCTTGGCCCCTAAAATGCTTGCTGCAGACAGCCCTGCCCTCCCGACGCTGGGACCCCTCTCATGCCAAGCCATGGCCCCTAAAGGTGCTCACCCCCAGCTGCTGGCCTTGGGATCTGTGGGAAAGTGCCGAAGACTCAGGAATTCAAGTAGCTCCTTGGGCACATCCTGGTTCAGGTATAGGACGCCCTAGAGAAGCAGACAGAGGAAACGTGTATCAGACCCAGTTATGTGATACATACACACAGCCCAGTGCAAAATGAAAACTTGGAGGTCCTGCCAAAATGATTAAGAATTTCAAGACAGCAAGAGCAGAGCATTCATTAATCAAGCTTGGGGCCCTTCTGACACTGGGCCCTGCGGTGTAAGCCCAAGAAGCCAGCCTGGCCTGTAATCTGGCATCACTTTGATCTCAGCCTGGAAGGGAAGAGAACTAGCTTTCAGTTCCATAATTAAGATTGAATGAGATAACCAGGAGGCAGGTGGCCCCAGTTCCATGAAAGTTCAAGAATTAAACTATTATAATTTCAATTAATTCTGAAATTACTGTTCAGAAAATTGAGGCTTGGGGTAGTAAAAAACATGCCCCAAATGTGCATCCCCTCACCCTATGCACCCACACCTCTCTGGGTCACACCTCTAGTCCAGCAAGAGAGACTCAAACCCACCTGGATATAGGCCTCCAAACTCTGCCGCCGCTGCTCCAACCCTCTGGTCCTCCAGTTAGGCAGGCGTTTCGAGGGGAAGTCGGGCACTTTGTACAGTTTCTTGATCTGGGAGGAGGTTACCGCGGTGCGATCACAGCGTCCCCACTGAGCCCTAAAGCTCACTTCACCCTAGCAAAAGCCTTCCCCAGTCTGTCTCCCCTTCCCACACCCAAAACTCCAGGCTCTACCCTGGAACAGTCCCGCGTGAGTGGTGGCTGGGGCAAGGGAGAGTCTCCCAACCCCAGCAGACGCCCGAGGGTGGGCCTGTCGCGCAGGGGCATGGACAGTACGGGCTGGAACCTGCCCCTCTGTGTCCAACCCGCAGACCATGGGGAGGTCAGTACCCAGGACCTGAATACTCTCCAGGGACTGGGGCGGTAACAGGGGTGGCAGAGGCTGAGGCCGCGGCTCGGCTGCCCGCCTCCCTGGGCTGGGCAGGAGCCGGGCCGGGGTCTATCGGTCGGCGGCGCCGCCTCACCCGCTTGTGCAGCGCGTGGAACTCGCTGTAGCGCCTCGGCACCGTGTGTCTGCGCCCGCAGTACCGCACCTCCACTCGGAACACCTGGCAGGCGCGGGCGGGCAGGCGATGCGCGTGAGGCCGGGCGACCGCCCACCCTCCCGCGCTTAAAGGCACAAAGCAGACTTGGAGCACCGCCGCTCCCCGGGGACCCTCCCACGCACCCCACACTTTAAGTGGAAGGGGCGAGAGGACCCGCCCTCCGCTCGGTGCAGTCCCTCATGAGCCCGCACCGTCGCCGGCGCGGCTGGCAAATCCTAGCGCCCCGACACCCTCGGCCGGCTGTCCCCCGACGGCCTCGCCTGCAGCGCTCGGACACCCCAGCCCGGGTCGCGGGGTCCCCACTGCGCTCAGCGAAGGGAAATCCCGCGGTCTCCGCACCCCTTCCCATCCAGTGCCCCCGCTCACCATGTGGCCTTTCTCTGGGCTCTGCTTGGGCGCCTCGGCCTCGGGCCCCACCGACGGGATGTGAACTTCCAGCATCCGCGCTCCCGCCCCCGCCCTCCTCGCACTAAGCTAGGAGCCCGAACTCTCCCAGGCGCAGCTGAAACCCTGAAGGGGCCGGCCCCGCCCCCTCAGGCTCACAGGCCCCGCCCCCAGATGGCCCAGCCCGGGGCGTTCCCTCGCGCAGTCGAGACCTGCTGGGGGCAGATTAGGCAGCGTGCAGGGTGGCGGGGACTGAGAGCTGTCCCCTGAGCCTGGTGGGGCCGCAGTGCGGGTGGGGACCTTTCGGTGCAGAGGCATTTATTTGTCAACATTCATTGAACGCCCACTGACTGTCAGGAAGGCAGGCGAGCCAAAATTTCACCTGCTCTTCGTTGAGTGTCTACCAAAGACTAGATAGAGCCTGTGGGCGCTAGGCATGGAGGATTCGGGACCCAGACCTTGGCGCCTACCTTCAGGGCCAACCAGCGACGTTCCTTGTGTTCCTCACACTCTTCCCCGGGACCAGACTGTCCCCCATCCTCCTCCCTCCACCTTCAACCTGGACCCTGGGGGGGTGGCCACGCCTGGGGTAAGCCTTGGAACCCCGTCTGGTTTTGATGTCCTCCCCTCTCCCAGCATCCACAAGCCTCTTCATCCACAAGCCCGTTCATTCATTCAATCTTTCTTTCTTTCAACCTTCCTTCCTTCTCTTTCTCTCCTCTCCCCTCCCCTCCCCTCCCTCCCTTCTCCTCCCCTTCCCCCCCTCCCTCTTTCTTCCTTTTTCTTTCCTTTCCATTCCTTCATCTTTCAGCCTTAACCTGCTTCAGGCCCAGTTTACTAGCAAGAGGCAGCTTCGGAAACCAGGCTCTGCTTTGGGGGTCAGACAGCTTGGATTTTCCAAACTGTGTAGACCTGTGCTCATTTGCAAAATTGGGATACTATGCCTCCCTGGGGAGAGTGCATGAAAATTGAGTGAGATGATCCCTGTTAAGCCCTCAGCAAAGTAGGTGTTGAGAAAATGGCAATTTGTGGGCTTGTCCTAGAGGCACAGGTGGGGGGTGTTGGTGTACAGGGCAATGGGTGGGGAAGAGGGCCTGTGGAAGGTGGCACTAGACTGTTTTTGCCCACCCCTTTGGGCAGGGGCTTCCTGGGTATGGGGCAGAACTTAATCTATAACTCTCTCACCCCCTGTACTAGAAAGGACCTCTGCTCCCACCTCTCAGCCCCCCACCCCTCAGCCATAAGGGAGCTGTCCCATTCGGCAGAGACCACTCCACTGACTTCTCCCACAAAGGCCTAGGCAGGTGGAGGGTAGGGAAGCCCTGCCTCAAACAGCTCACACCTAGTGGGGGGCCGTGTGGTGAGGAGAAAGCAGAGTACCTGTCTTAGGGGGTGAGGTTGGGGGCCACTCATTCCATGCCCTGCTAGTCAGAGGTGCTTCTGAGCTGGAGCGGAAACTCTCCATCCCCAGCTCTGCGCCCAAGAGAGTCTGAGAACAATCCCAAGAGGAAAAAAGCAGGTCTCACCATACCATTTCCCACACTTGCTTTCCCCCAATTCCATCCTCACAAGGGCCCTAGAATGAGGAAGCTGAAACTCTTTGGAAGGGAAATGACCCACAATGAGGAGAAGTGATGGCGTTTCATTTCCCCCTTACACTCCAGGGCCCCCATCATTCAGGGACTCTGCTCTGCTTGTCTTACTGCCCAGGGAGTCCTCTCCGGGGACCCCCAGACTTCTAAACTTCTTGGTCGTCCATCCTAACGACTGTCTGCCCCTCTCTCTCTATTCCTACCACCCAGAAAACTGCTTGTCTCCAAATGGATCTCCGTTTCCCATGCCTCCCTCCTTCAAACCAAGTCCATTCTAACAGCACAAACTGTCATCAAGGTGTCTGCTTAAAACCTTCCACAGGCTTCCCACTGCACTCAGAACAAAACCCACTCTCTCTACCACACTCGACAGTACTCTAAATGACCCAGCCCAGCCCCCACTTCTCATCACCTCCTGTCCTCCCCTCATAATGCACCACGCTCCAGCCACATGACCTTCTTCCAGTTCTTCAAGTCTAATGAGCTTTTTCCTGCCTCAGGACTTTTATATATGATGATTCCTCTCCCTGGAACACTTTCCCTTGATTCTTTACCTGGTAGGCTTAGGCTAAAACTTCCAATTCTTAGCCTAAAATTCACCTTCTCAAAGAGGCCTTCCTTTCTGACCACCCTATCTTATCACCTTATTCCAATATGTAGTTACTGTTTGTTTATCGTGTCCCCCTGGTTTCCTCGACTCTGCCCCAGACTCTGGGCGACATCAGGCCAGGGACTTGGTCTGTCTTGTCAGTGGCTGCCGCCATAGTACCAAGCATGTAGTAGACACTCAAAAAACATTCATTGGTTGAAAGACTATATAAATGAATCGGGGAGGGAGATGTTGGGAAAAGGCTAGGGAGGGGAGGGAAGGGCTGGGAGAGCGGCAGGAAGGGAGCAGGGGTTGCTGAAGGGTTAGAGGAAGGCAGGCGGGGGGATAACAACAGGAGTGCTCTTCCCACCTGCAGTTAGATCTCTCCCTCTCTCCCTCTCTCCCCCTCCCCCCCCCCATCTCTCTCTCTCTCTCTCCAGATTGCTGTCCGCCTTATTCATTTGTTTAACTTTCCAGTGTTCCTGAGAAGCCTCAAATCAATGGATTTTCATCACCAGTTATAGTGGGAGAGTTGATGCAATTGACTGGAAAAATTCCACAGCATTCCATGGTAAACGAGTGAAGATCAATGAAGAAAAACCAGATCCTTGACCTGGAGACATTTTAGATGTCTTTGGGGAGATAAAACAAATTATAGAGAATACTTTCCTGAAAAGGAGGAACACATGACATGGTGGAAACCCCACAACAGTTATTACAGTCAGAGGTAAAGTTTATTTTCTATACACTTTAAGCATTGGCCAGCTCAATATATGAACACTGAGCTAAGTTCCAGACTTTTCCGAGTGACTTCCATTTTTAGAATGAGTTGTTTTACTGTATAAAGTCTTGTCTTTTCTTCATCACTCTTCAACATACAAATTTAATGTCTAAGTTTCTGGGTGAAAGTTGGTTAAAAGTACTGGTTGGTCACATTTTCTCGGCAGGGTATATAAGGGTCAGATTTAGTTAGAACAGTGTTTCTCGAACTTCAGCAAGCATCAACATCACCAACGTGACCTGTTCAATCTCAGATTAGAGGGCCCCGACCCATTTTCTGAATGTGGAGGCCTGGTGTAAAGCCTCACATGTGTGTTTTTCACAAGTGCCCTGGTAATACTGATGCTCCTAGTTGAGGACCACATTGTAGACGCAGGTCTCTCGACTCCCCGAAGAGCCCCACCAGGGAGCGGGGCCACTCTCGCCCCACTGTGCAGCCCTGGCACCTAGAGATGAGAATCAGGGCCTAAGCAGAGGTCAGGAGGGACTGAGGGCTGTGCCCCCCTGACCTACCCCCACTGGGGGTGGTGGCTGGTGGTGGGGTGACATGCCGGTGGGTTGACCTGTGGTTCCCGCCCTGGCCTGGGCCCTCGCCCTCTGCCGCCGTCACACAAAGCCCCTTTTCACACTAGCACCACTTCTGTTGGGCTGTGCAGCTGCTCAGGAGGTTTGGTTAACTCTGTTAAGAAAACAAACAGCTCCGGGGCCCTGGGCTGGCGGGCACTGCTGCTGGGCACAGAGGCTGGGTTCTTTTCTCCAGGCAGGTGGCCAGAGGCAGACTGGCCCAGAGGGAGCCCAGCCCCGCCTTCCCCCAGTAAGGCTGGGCTTGGACTGCTCCACCCAGACCAGCTCTGGTCACCTGGGCAACGCTGGACAACACCCTATGCCTCAGGGTCCTTATCTGTACAAGAGAGAATTGTGTGGATTAACTGACATCATGCTTTTCAAGTGTTTAGCATGGGGCCTGGCACGCAGTAAATGAATGTTAGCTGTTATTATTTGACTGAATTATATGAATTTGCTGTTTTGGAGGCCAAAAATGTGGGATATTGGCAACTATAATACATATGACTCATCCTATATATTGTTACCAATTCAACTTTGAAACAAGAACTCTACTATTCCTCTTTCAGTATCCTGAGATCCCAAGGTTAGCTTAAAAAAAAGAAAACTACTATTTCAACTACTAACCCTGGGATCAGGATTTTCCTGATTTTCTCAATATTGTGCAACCAAAATAAGGTAAAAGAATAAATTGGAAGCAGAGGTTGGTGTAAATTAGCAATTATCCTGCTCCTGTCAGCCTCAGAGTACTTACTGTTTGCCTTTTTAATAAGTATATCTTATAAATTTGCAATAATATAAGAATAAAATATTTTTGTTTTGAATATTGGACTTTGGTGTCTAAAAAAATAGTTCTGCTGCTAGAATATTTTAAATTATTGAGCTAGTCTTAAGACTTTATTTTATAGATGAGGCACCTGAGGTGTGAGGAGAAGTGGGCCCTGGAAAGGCTGTTAGGAAGGCACCTCTGACAAGCATGTCCTGCCTGAGCCCTGAAAGCAAAGTCTGGCTCATGTAGGCTGGTGGCCTGCGTCTCAGGGGACAGGCACAGGCAGGCTCCAGCCCCAGGGCTCCAGCCAGCAGTGTCACTCCTAGGAGTCACCTGCCCCCTGCCCCCTGCCTGGACAACAGAAGCAGCTCAGCGGCTTCAGGGCTGGAGCCAGGGGAGCTGGCAGAGACCCCAGTCACCTGGCATCTAAAGCAGCACAGCTTCCCAGGGGGGTGGATTCTGGGGCTACAACAAGCACCCTTTAGTGTGATACGTCAGTGGACCAACCAATCAGCCCCTCTGGTGTGCTCAGCACTGGGGTTTAAGGAACAAAGATGCTTGCAGGTAGCCTCAAGTCACGGGGGTTTATCATGAAGAGAGCTGCAGGACCAAGAACTGAGAACAGGAAAGCCTCTGCAAAGGCCAGGAGGGGCTACAGCCCCAGGGCTCAAAGTCTGGAAAGGAAGAGCTCTCGCTTCCCATTCTAGCCCTGGGTGCTAACTGGTCTCCCCGCGAGTGGAATTTTTAGTCTCAGCCATTACTCAGCTACTCACTTGAGCCACTCTTATCTTCCAGCTTCTGTTCCTGCTACCAGAT